CTCCTCACAGAAAAAATAATAATAATAACAAAATATACAACCTTAGCATCTTTTGTTTTTAGCTTCCATCATCCTCTCATCTCCAATTGGCATTTCTTCCCTCCAGAAGGTATTTAAACATCTGCTTTTCCCACTCAACTTATTAGGATATTGAGGTGCCTACCCAGTCACTCAGTCTCATTTTTCTCTGTCCATCATAGCAGGGACCTGGGCTCTAATTTGCCACAGAGAGGTATAGATAACAACTGCTGTCTGTGGTGCTGAAGTCCATTTTACTCTATAGACTTGGCTTCTTAACTACTTGGGGACAAGTACCATAAAGGAGAAAAATGTTCAGTAGGCTATTCGGTGTGCTGAAGCCCCTACTTTCCTTTGTCCTTGGCATGGTGCCAATGTATGATGTTGTATTTAGACATTCATAAAATATTAGAACAAGTAAATGAGCGTTTATTAAGAATCTACTACATAGTGCTATGTGCTAGAGAAGGAAATAAAAGAAACAAAACAGTTCCTGATTTCAAAAATTTAACATTCTAACAGGGAAAACAACATGCAAATACCTGTTTCAATAAGTCATATACAAGATAAATTGGAGATCTTCTTATATAGAAGGTATTTACATTAAAGGATACCAGAAAGGTCTCTTGTCAAAGGTAGGATTTTATATGGGACCTAAAGAAAGGTATGGAATCCACCAAGAAGTAGAGAAAAAAAGGGAGAGCATTCCAAACATGGGGTATAACCAATGAAAATGCATAAAGTCAGGAAATGGAATGTTTTGTGTGAGAAATAGCAAAGAGGTCAAGGTCCCTAGATCACAGAGAAAATTGTGAGAGGGTGTATAACATGTAAGAAAACTGGGAAAGTTGTAGAAAGTGTGCTGGTTATGAAGGGCTTTAAAAACAAAATTATTTTATATTTGGCCTCAGAAGTAATAAGGATCCATTGAATTTGGTTAGGGTAATGATGTAATGCAACCTGTGCTTTAGGAAGATTAATTTGACAATGAGTAGAGGATAAACTGTTATGGGTAGAGCTTGAGGCAGGCAGACTGACCAGAAAGGTCTTGCAATAGTCCAGGTGTGAGGTTAACAACAGCCAATTCCATAACAATGGCCATATCACAGTAGAGAAATCTCCTGTAAAGGTAGAATCAACAGATTGCACTTCTTTGGGGCTGGGTGCTATCTGAGAGACTGTGAAAAGCAATATCATAGATGTGAAAGGATCCTATTTTTAAAGGAATAATGAAAATGTAGAGATAAAACTTAATTTATCCAAGGTCACAGAGAGAGGAAGTAGCAGACTAGAACTAGAAATCTTTGAGATACTTCCCTAACTGTGATTCTATCTTCCAGGTAGGGGCATCTTTCACCATACCTCATTATTTCCTGTGTTATGCTTCATTTCTCTTTGACCACACTCTAGTACTGTGATACAAGCAGACATGCATTTCAATAGGGAACTTTTGGAAATAGAAGGAATTGGAGTCCCAGAAATAGTGTTTGAGTCATAAGGAGAAATATTTGGGGAAGTTTTTCAGTGTCCCTCACTAAAAGTATGCCAAACCCCCACCAAAAAGAGCCACAGTCTATAGATACAAGTGTACTTTTCAATATAATTTCTATAATGCAGGCTACTAAATAATATGGATAGCCAAGACTTTCTCTTCTGGAGGCTTTCAAAGGCTCCCCTTGGGTGTCTGTGAGAGTTTAGTCATGGTAAAGAAAAATTTTCATGTCAGTGAGAAGTTGTTTCTCGATCATGCCTTACTCTGAAGTAGTGTAAGATTAAAAATGCAATAAGCTTACATTGTCTGGGCCATCTGGTCATTATGTAGTCTCCTGTGCTTGAAATATATATATTTCTAAGATTGGTCTGTGATACAGGTGTGACAGAGGTGAAGGAAGAATAAAGCTCAATTACTCAGATAATGTGTTCACATAGACATATGACAGTCTCTCAGAGGCAGTTCAAAGCTTAGTGCTTGAGAAGCTCTCCTAGAAAGATGGTATTAACTGAAGGACAGATGGGAAACTCTCAGGGGTCTAGAGGGGCTCTCTGTTGCCTTGGATACTCAAATCTGACCTCCTTGTCACCACCACTCCCAACTCCCACATTCCCATCAGCTTCCTCTCCCCCACCTCCAGTGGAGATTTGTGGATTTAGCAGTATAAATCCTCATAAAGAAGCTGCTTCCACAGAGGCTAAACCAATACTACAGCATTGTTCCACAGTTGTCCATATTGTTCTGCTCTGTTTATTAGTCTGGTGAGTAAAGGGCTTGGGGAACAGCTTGCCACAAAATTCCTCTGTCACTCCTGACCAGAGACTAACAGGTTAATTCAATGGGTAAAACTAGAATTCATTTCCCTTTAGCACTCATTGGGATGCCCTTCCCAGGGCTCACATTGCCCAGAATCTTTCACTGTAACCCCTGCCAAGGCCTACCTACCTAGAAACTTGGCCTTTCCTTGGTTCTTGCGACAAAACTTTTTCCATTCTGTGTCCAGTTGCCATCAGGACAATGTTCTCTGATTTCCAAGGAGACAATGAGATAACCTGGCAAATTAATTAATTAATTAATAGGGAAATGCTATTCTTAGTCCCCTCCCAGTTCCCATTTATTTTTCCCAATGACTTTTTGTAGTATAGCATCCCTGGCATCATTGATTAATCTAAAAGAATGATGAAGAGAGAGCATCCCAGATCATTCAGGCTGGAAGGGATGTGTTGGGATAAAAAGGTGAGTTCAAGGTTGTCTGAAAGTCAAACATCTCTTCTAGCTTAGAGTGTGTATATTAAAGGGGAGGAGGGCACCAAGACAGAAAAGGTGAGGTATTTGAGGTTATTGATGATGTTCTCTAAGCTCAGGTGTGTGTGTGTGTGTGTGTGTGTGTGTGTGTGTGTGTGTGTATGTGCATATGAGAGCTGAAATGTGGGACATGTGTATTTAGCCATGTTCAAGTGAATGGAAATAAGCTTCTTACGTATGAATATATGTACCTGTCTGATCTCACTTTCAATGATTATGCTACAATACAGTGAGATGTGGTTTCCATGTATATGTACCAATATATTAGTTTCTACATGCGTATAAAAGTATCCATCCATGCAATTATATGTATTTCTATACAAAGGCACATAGAAGCATAGTCATATGTTTTCAGGTGATTTTGTATATGATATATACATATCAGTATACCTCTACACACATATTATGATTGTTTTCATGTAGGCATTTATCTATATATGTACACACAAATATAAATATATGCTCATATGTATATATATAATAGATTTTTCATGCATTTCTATATTTGAGCATGTTTTAAGCAAGGGTGCAGTCATGACATTAGAAAGGATGTCATACATGTATGTGTATATGTGTTTATGCATACATGTGTACATTCATGGGTGTGTGTATTGTGTGCATACATATATGTGCACACACATATTAATATATTCATGTGCATACATAAAGGAAGGAATTCTGGGAGGGTGAATGTGATATGATAGAAAAGATATTTGAAAGATATTAAGAGACTTTCTTGAGGCTTTCCTAGATGTGAGAGTTTTGCTTCTATATGTTCTGGATGCATGGAGGTAAGGGTTAGACTAAACATCTACAATAGTTCCCTTCCAAACTGAGCAGTCTAAGATAGTAGAGAAAATATTTCCATGTATTCATGGGTATCTGGATTATTCTAGTATGTGGAAATGAGTATTGGTATGTGCTTACAAGCATTTGGCTTTATTTATATATTTGTGTGAATAGCATGTAACTTTGAGCACATAAGTGAGTATGAAAGTATATTTATGTTCATGTGGTCAAATATACCTTCTGTTCACCTATGTGCATTTTTATTATCTTGTATGTTTGAAAGGATGTGAGGAAGGACGGATATGAAATGGGTGCTTGTACATGAATATAAGGACATGCATATATACGTGTGATTATGAGCAAGTGTTTGTAGGTTTGTACAAGCCTGTGTTTGTAGGCATGTAAGAGTCCATGTGTGAGCATGTTCCAGTGTTTCTTTAGGAGAGAAAAAAGAAAGTTAGTGCCATTGGTCAAAGCAGAACATAAGGCAGCAAGAGGACAAAATTGCTCTGAGAAGCATGTTTCCTATACTTTCCCCAAGAAGGGCCAATAAAGTTCATAGACTATTCTTACCCAACTGACTCCCATCCCAACATACCCAACCAGGATAAAGAGTTTGGTGTGTCACAAGCAATAAGAAACTGGAAGGGGGTGTATAGAGGAATTGAAGGAAAAAGGACTTGATTAAAAAAAAAACAATGAATAGTAAAGTCTCTGCTCCAACTCTCTATTGGGGACAGGATTTGGAAAGAAGGAAGTAAAGTGGAGAGGAGTGAGATCTGGGGAGACAGTAGAGGGAAATGAATAAATGGAAGAGGTGGCTAGATGAAGAAGGTCAGGGGCTCATAAAACAGTAAGGTTTGAGGAGCTAGGAATGGTTGTTACCTAGGGAATGGGGCATGCACAAAATGAGAAGGAAGAGGCTTGGGATCTGGGAAGATGGCAGGGGAAGTATAGAAGGAGGCATTTTAGACATAAAAACAAGCTCATCAAAGTAGAGATTGGGGGCTTGAGGTCATGGTGGACAACACAGGTAGAAGTACACTTATGAATAACTAGAGTGTGGGGAAATGAGTAAGATGTTAATGGGAGAGGTATTCAGTTCAGAGGAAATTAGATTAAAGTTGATAGGATCTGGAAGAAGGGTCTGGGGTTTAAGAGAATATTAAAAGGAGAGAGAAGAGTAGGGGTTAACAGCATGGTCAGGAGAAGAGTAGAGTCACAGAAATCATCATAGAATCAGAGATGATGGAGATGTGACTAAGCAACATCATGCGGAAGAAATAAGAGCACCAGACTAAATCTCATTGGTGTTATTCTTTTCTTTCCAAGTGTTTGGAGTCCACTTCTGAGAGCTACTGTGTCTTAAAAACTATTCACACTGGCAAACTCCAGCAACAATACATCAATGATTCCTACTTTCCTGCTGGTAGGCATCCCAGGCCTGGTAACCACACCATCATGGTGGGCCCTCATTTTGATTACCATCTACCTCCTTTGTGCCCTTGGAAATGGAACAGTTCTCTGGGTAATTGCTGTGGAGCCCTCACTCCATCGCCCAATGTACTTCTTTCTCTTCCTGCTGGGTGTATCTGATGTTGGCCTGGCCACAGTACTGATGCCCACACTGCTGAAACTTTCTCTTTTTGATTCCCACACAGTTCCAGCATTTGCCTGCTTCCTCCAGATGTTCTTCATTCATGTTTTCTCTGTTATGGAGTCTTCTGCCCTGCTGGCAATGGCCTTTGACCGGGCACTGGCCATTTGTCATCCTCTCCGATACCCAGCCCTGCTCACAAATGGTGTGACTAGCAAGATAGGACTGGCCATTGTCTTCCGTTGTGTCAGTCTCCATCTACCCCTGCCATTTCTTTTGGCCTGGATGCCCTACTGCCATCCCCAGGTTTTATCCCACTCCTACTGTTTGCACCCAGATATTTCCCGGCTATCCTGTCCTGAGGCCCAAGGTGCAACCTACAGCCTCTTTGTGCTCTTTTCTGCTATGGGTTTGGACCCTGTCCTCATCTTCTTGTCCTATGCCTTCATTGGACAGGCACTTCGGGGTATAGCTTCACATGAAGATCGTCACCGTGCCCAACACACCTGTGCCGCACACATCTCTGCTGTGCTTCTTTTCTATGTACCTATGATCCTCCTAGCACTTATTGAACGACTGAGGTTACCCATTCCCCATGCTGCCCACACTTTTCTCTCCTATATCCACTTTTTGCTTCCACCTCTGCTCAACCCTGTTCTCTATAGTGTCAAGATGAGAGAGGTCAGGGAAAAGATCCTAAGAAGGATCCAGCCCACGAAAGTCAGGTCTGTTCCATGAGATAGGGAATGAGGCAACCCCCACCATTAGGTGTTCCAGTACTAAACATTGACACATTTGTTTTCCCAGTAAAATGCTTAACAATATGAAGCAAGTGCATGTTTTATATACAAGTATATACATATAGTTATGTCCATGAATGTACTTACATATATTTTATTATTATGTATATCAAGTGCCTACATGAATAGATGGGCATATGTCCATTTCATGTCATTCGATCCTTAAAGAGAGAGAAAATCATAAGCAAGGTAGAAAAATAATTCTGGTTCACTGCCTCTAAGCTCAGTGCTCTTTCCAGCACACCATAATGAATTCCATATGAAGAAATAAGGAAATCAGACAGGGATAAGACTAAAGAAAGGAAGAAAAGGGGGTTTGAGGGGTCCCTAGTGGCATTATAACTCTGTATCTGTGCAGAAACTCAGCTACTGACCTATGGGAGTATGTGAATGCTTGCAGGCATATAAGGAAGGCATTTTTTTAACCTCCTCTCCTCTTCCCTAACCTCTTCATTTGTCTCAGGATTTCTTCATAATCTCTCAAGGGGACACAAGTGAAGGTCAAAAACCATCTGGGTGAATAAATGGACATATGGATACTGGAGAAATAAGGTCTAGTCCATCCCCAACCTCAACATGGCCATACTTATTTATTGACAGTCTGTAGGGACAGAATTTAATTATTCACTTTTAGACCCTCGCCCCACTCCTGTCCCAAAACAGTTGAATGAGCTTGTGAAAATAGGATGTTACCTAATTATCATTTCGTTCCCTTACTGGAAAACAATTCCCATAAGGGCAAGAAATGAGTCTGATCTACACTTTTTATCTCTGACAACTTTAACATCACTTTATATATAGTAGTCAATGTTGTTGAATGAGTGGATGAACTATATAATATTTGCTAGATTGACTTAATTTGGCAAGGGATTGGAAGTCTTGGTCAAATGATGACACTGATTGCATGGATAACATATGCCAAATATGCCAAGGATTTGCATTTCATTGGTGTTCAAAGATGACACATGATGTTTGAAGATGTGACTTTGTGCCTTGAACACTTACCTGTGTTTCTGAGAGATTAAATAACTTATCCATGGTCAGCTAGTCTCAAAGGCAGGATTTAAACCCAAGTCTATCTAATTTTAAGTCAAAGACTCTATCTACTACACCACATTGCCTCTCAATTGGTATTATAACCCAGGAATACTGAATATCCTTATTTCTAATCATGCTTACTTCTTTAGCTGGACATGGGGGAGGGAGTTTGTCCTGTGACTTCATCTAAATTATTGACACAAACCCTATGCTGTTATACTGTTTTCATAAGTCCACTTAAATCTTATCTATCCACCATAAACTGTTGATACTCACAATTTGACTGAGCATTAGTGTTGGAAGAGATCTTGAGATCTTCCAGTCTAAGCCTCTTATTTTTCTTATCAGCAAATAGAGGCTCAGAGAAGTTAAGTGACCTGGTCAAAGTTATACAGCTGATAAGTGGCATAATTGAGGCTCCAATATTATTCTTCTCATTCCTACGTCAGTATTTGCCCTTTATACTATATTGCAAATGCTTAGGCAATCCACTTATATGATAGTTGGGTGTGATTCTGGACTTCATTATTTTTGACCATCTTTGTGTTATTGATTTTAGGTTGGAAACACCTGGGACCCAGGGGTAAGGCCAATACATTTTGCCATAGATGGCACCCAGAACACTACTACATTAAAACAAATTATTTTAATAATGTTGATTATACTGGTGAAACATATTTAATTATGTACATTTGAAAAGATAATTGTGCTCTATTAATAATTAAATAAAAACTGAGCATGCAGAGGTCATTGTAATGATCAAATAAAGCACACAAAAAAACAGTTTTTAAATGACCTTTCAATTGATTCCTTCTGTTTTTATATCACGTTGGCTTCCAAACATATCTTCCTTGTCCCTTTCAACTCCCAGAGAGCCCTCCCTAATAACAAATAAAATGACATATTTAAGAATTTATATGAAGACAACTGTGTTCTGTAAGGACCAAGGAAAAGGAGTTTCCAGCTTCCACTGTGGTCTCAGCTCTGTCGTTCCTGTGTTGTCCAGCCCCTTCAGACTCTTTCAGGCTCTGAACCTGGATCCACTGAGTTATCAGCCTAACACTACATTGAACCACCCAGAGCACACAGGACTATGTGTCTGTCCTAGTCAAGGTTGGATTAACTTACTCTTTCCCCTTGACTAACTCATAAGCTCTCTCCCAAGGGTAAATGTCTTCTAGGGCATGAAGGGTGATTTGAAAAATTTTAGTAGAAATGAGATTGCTGATATTAAAATTCAAGAGCTGTCAGTCCCATGTGAGTTATCACATATATTGGCCCTACATTCATCATTGTGATATGACAGAAATCATAATAATGAGATCTTAGGCTTCATTAACCACAAAAACATCAATGACAATCACAATAGTGACAGGATGGGGCAATGGAAAGAGCTCTGGATCTGGACTCAGGGAACCTAGGTTCAGATCCTAACTCTGACTCTTGTTACCTGTGTGATTGAAAAGAAGCCATGACCACCCTGACCTTCAGTTTCCTCATCTGTGTTGGACTAGTTGCATTCTGAAGTTCACTCTAGCTCTAAAACTATTAAAATAATTTTAAAATAATCAATCATAACTCTAACAATAGTTAGGATAATAAGTTTATATGGGACTTTAATGTTTACAAAATGTTTTACATGTATTCCATCATTATATCTTCATAAAAACTTTGCAAGATAGGCAGCATAAATATAATAACTCTCATTTTATAGATGGGAAAAACAAGACTAGAATTTTAAGTTATTCACTCAAAGTCACACAGCAGATAAGTACTAGAAGAAGAATTTCAATCCAAGTATTATGAGACCAAGTGGAGTAATTTTTTTTGTCCCTACACTAGATTGCTTTCTTCCACAATAGAATCTTAGCATCCAGTGTGAGTGAATTTATAGTCCATATATGTATATATATATATATGAAGGCTCTTAATCCTTTCATGTATGTGTGTGTTTATGTGTTGTGTGCTGTGCTGTGCTATGTGTGTGAGACAGAGAGAAACAGAGAGAGAAAGAGAGAAAGAGAGAGAGAGAGAGAGAGAGAGAGAGAGGCTGATAAAGCCTATGGACCCCTCAGAATAATGTTTTTGAATAATTGAAGGAAATGCTAAATTTTGGTTTGAGGTTAGTGAAAAGAAAGATGTGATTTTCCCATCCAAATTCATGGACACCCTGAAATTTATTTGGGGACATTTTGGGGGCAAAGGTTAAGAACAACCCCTGCTCTATATTGTATCAGAGTTAAACAGGAGTATGATATCCCACACTGATTTTTTTTGGAAGGACATTAACAAGTTGAAGAATATATAAAGGAAAGTGACCAAGGTTTGGAAATAACTAGAAATCTTTCCATATGATGATCAGCAAGAACTGAAGATATTTATCTTGAAGAAGAGGTGATGGAAAAACAATATGTTATATTCAAATATGTGATAAGCTGTCATGATATAGAAGTAAAATTAGACTTTTTTGCTTTTTTCTGGGCTCAAAAGACAAAATAAGATGCAATGGGTAGAAATGAGAGGAAGGCAGATTTGGGATTAATACAGGCAAAAACTTTCTAAAGATTATATATTTTGTAATTTTCTCATATTTACTTTTGATTCTTTGTATGTTGTTCTTGCCATTTACATTATTATGCTTTGTATATTGTTTTCTTGGTTCTGCTTACCTTACTGCATCACTTCATATGAATCTGTCTTTGCTTCTCTATATTCATTACACATTATTTCTTACAGCACAGTAATATTCCATTACATTCATGTGCAACTATATTTTTAGCCGTTCCAAATTGATGAGTGTCTACCATATTTCCAATTCTTAGCTATAAATATCTTGGAGTATATGGGCTTTTTTCTTATCAATAACTTTTTTGAGGTGTAAGTTGAGTAATGGGGTATCTGGTTCAAAGGGGGTGGACATTTGAGTCACTTTACTTGCACAATCCAAAATTGCTTCTAAAATGGTTGTACCATTTCACAACACCAGCAACAATTTATTAGTGTGCCTATCTTTCCACACACAATGCCTCCAGCATTTACTGTTGCAATATTTTGTCATTTTGCCAATTTTCAGAGTGTGAGGTAAAACTTCAGGGATGTTTTGATTTGCATTTATCTCACTATTAGTAAGTTAGAACATTTTTTTCATGTGGTTGGGAATACTTTGCAGTTCTTTTGAGAATTGTTTACATCCTTCGAACATTTATCTATTGGGAAATGACTATTGGTTACATATATGTGTATTGTGTATATATACACATATGTATATGTATATACACTATATATACAAAACACAATATACATATTTGTGTATATATATGCTCTCTACATACAAAACATAATTATATGTCATATATACATGTATATATAATAATACATGTGTATTTGTAATATTCATACATATGTGTACACACATATATATGTATGTGTATGTATATATAAAGAAAATATTTTGGATACCAAATCCTTACCAGATAAATTTGATACAGAGATTTTTTTCCACTTCAGATTCAATCACTTCCCTTCTTCTTCTAAATGCATTAAAGTTATCAGTATAGAAACTTTTCAATTTTAAATTCACTCTTCTGCTATAAACAGTATTGTGTTCCTTTAGTTACTTTAATTTGTTTAAGGAGACTCTGTTCCAAGTGACTCTCTTCTTCTCACCCCTGATTCCTTCTCATTTGTTACCTCTTTCCCTTTAGAATTTTATTTATTAGTTCTTTTTTTTCTCCTGCTTTTATCTGGTTATATATATTTTTTCTCCATCTTTTTTTTTCTCTCAGACAAGTAGATTGACCCTTCCTCACCTACCCTTCAGGTAGTACTATTCCTTAATTTCTAAATTTCATTTTTGCACCCCTGTACATAAAAGATTTCTCTTCATTATCCATCTTATGT